GGCTTTTTATACTTAGAAGAAGTGAATTCCTGAGAATAATTTAGTTGAATAAACATGAAAGGAGAAGGATTTTCCCCAGACTAAAAATAGATTGCTCTGGTCAGATGTGGTGGCTCATGCCTATAATTACAGCACTTTGGGAGGCCAAGGCGGGCAAACCACAAGACCAGGAGTTCGAGACCAGCCCAGCCAACATGGCGAAACCCTGTTTCTACTAAAAAAAATTAAAAAAAATAAAAATACATTGGCTGGGTGTAGTGGTGGGCGCCTGTAATCCCAGCTACTCAGGAGGCTGAGGCAGGAGAATCGCTTGAACGCAGGAGGCAGAGGTTGCAGTGAGCCGAGATCGTGTCACTGCACTCCAACCTGGGTGGCAGAGTGAGATGAGACTCCGTCTCAAAAATAAATAAATAAATAAAAGAAAAAAGAAAAAAAAGATTTTTCCAGGCTGGGAAGAAGAGAAGAAGAGAAGAGTGCTATGGCAGCAGGAGTAGATGTGGCAGGAGTAGAGGTGCGTTACCCTGTTTTTTTGGTAGCCCTGTTAGAGCAAGAATCCAGAGAAAGACACATTTCAGAAAGGCTTCCAGCACAGGAATAGTTGAGGCCTGCCTAGCCTTGAAGGAGTCAGGAGGAAAGGATAACAGATGTCATTGTGACTTCCCATAGGCACTGATGACTGAAGACCAAATAGCTTTCCCCTATCCCCAATGCCTTAGCAAGACCCTAGGCTTGTGTGTGGTTCCCAAGAAAAGCTGGGGTTGTTTTTCCTGTAGCCCAGCAGGGCAATATTTGTATTATTTGTAGAGACAGAGTTTTGCCCTGTTGCCCAGCCTGAGGGCCTAGGGCTTGAGTCAGAAATTAAGTAGAGTCATGGACTATAAAGCAAGTTCTAGTTGTTGGACTCCTTAGTTCATAAGCTGAAATGTACACTCATCACACACCCGAGGATATTTAAATTCCCTTCTGCCCTATTTCATTCTACCTTCTTTCCTTGCAAATGGTTTCTAAGACAGCATAAACAAATCATCACCTTGGCGCTCCATCTAACTCATACAGTATCCATCCTCAAACTTGCTCTGTCCTATACAGCAGTGTTCTTAGTAAAGCAACATTAGACAAAATTCAATACCATGGTAGAGAGAGGCTGATCCCATTTTACCCACCCAAACACTCCTGGACACATACCAGTAGACAGCTTTGAGGACAGACAACCCAAACAGCATTCCAAATCCATTTTTCTGGGTATCGAATGCCAAAAGAAAGTTATTTAAGTGACTCAAATAGAGATTAAAGGCTTTATTCAACTGATACACATCAGAGAGATTAAAGACTTTGTTCAACTGATACATATCAGAGAGCAACTAGAGGACAGCTGACCCTAGATTAAAGTGGGGTTGGGATTTTATGGGGAAAGCTGAATGCGTGAACCCGAGGTTTTGGCTTAGGTAGCTTTTTTCAGTTTCATCAAAACTCATAGCTGGAGGTCATTCCACTTTTGTGCCTCTTGCTTAAGGTCATTGGTAAAATTCTAATACTATCAAAATAGTATTTTCTGAGAAGTATTTTGGCAAGCCTTGTGGCTTAAGTAAAAAATTTCCTGAAACATATTTTAAAAATAATTATACTGAGGTATCTGTGGGAGTTGCTTGTAAAGATGCCGAGGGGACTTGTGGCTCACTGGGCCTGAAGAGCTGTAAACCAATCTGGCTTTACATAGATTTGTGATAGAGGTGAGGAAATGAGAGGTTTAGAGGACAGGAGGCTGCAGCCATGGCATTTAAGGCTTTGGAGTTAAGGCAGTTGCAGGTTATGCCAAGTTCTAGGTGGCCATGATTTTGTTCCTGAAGCATTAGGTTGAAGCATATGCAATCATTGATGTTGTTGGTCAAAACCAGTATAACATCAGGAATTTTTATAGGGCTCGACCTAAATAAATATGGGCAAAAGTCAATTTGGTTGAGTTGCTGAATTTGGTTTTGGGCCAAAGAACCTTGCTTATATATATCCTCTGTCCCTCTAACAACACAACTAGCTAGTTTTATCTTTTCACTTTTCCCTGTTCACCTCACCTCACTGGTCATTTTCTCCTGGAAACCTGGCTGTCGTCTTGGAAAAAGTGGATCTAGTTCTGCTTTTGCCATTGGAAAACATACTTCGAGCTTTCTCCATCTCAGATGGGTCAAAAACCCTTGTATATGTCATTCAGTCCACGTGATTGAAATCTAAGAGCTATGACTCCTAAATCGAGAGACAGAAATAAAATTTTAAAACCATTTTCTTAACAAACATATTACAAATAGTTAATCTTAAATGGCAGCAGAATGTATCCCTGGTGTCTGAGCCAAAGTTAATGTGTATACTTTTGAGAGCCCCTGCTAAGCTGCCTATTGCATTGGCTGCAATATGGCACTAACAGGCGGAACGGCATTCTCATGACCAGATACTAAATGAACATCATCCCAAAGCATTACCATAATATCCTTTATATCTTATAATTGTATGAAATGACGCAAGCAGCTGTGTCCGTCAAAGGCTTTATAAACGGCACAGAAAATAAGTACCCTGTGATTGGCATCTATTAACAAAATGAACACCCCAGGCACACTATTTCATTACTCCCACTGGCTCCCAGAGGTATAATTAGGGTTGAATTTTTCATGAACATAAACATTACTTTCTTTGTCCACTATGCTATGCTTTGTGCCTGACTCTCCAATACTCCACTCAGAAAAACAGAAAAGGAGAAAAGAGAGGCATATCCTCATTGGCTGAAAGTGATTCTGTGGCTTGCTCTAAGGGTGCCCAGGCCCCTAGCATGGAGCTTGGAGTCCTCTTTCAGGCAGAACTCTCCCAGACCTGCTTTGCCCACTCCTGGCTTATGCTGAGGTTGGAGAAAGACCCAGCATCATCATCTGGAGCTCGGTATCTCTTGCAGAACCCTCAGGTTTTGGAGACATTAATATATGGTCTTCATTGTTAGTCTACTTACTCTATAATTTTTAAGTCATTTTTTAAGAAAAATAAAAGTGATATGGCTGTGATTGTTCTTGTTCTTCCTCTCGGTTTATTTGGTTGGATGATATCTGGTCTGATTTGCAGTCATGTTTGAAATGCTTTGCCAGTGGAATTTATCAGTCATTACCCCCAGAATCTTACTAAAATATAAATCTAATAATGCCATCCCCTTGCTTAAAACCTTTCAATGGTTTTCTATTATCAATGGGAGAAAGTCCAAGTTGAACAGCATAGCCTGTGGGGTCTTTGTGAGATGCCTCTGAATGATCTCCATCTATGTTTCCTGTCTCTCCCTTAAACAGGCAATCTACTCTCTAGCCACATTAAATATCTTATGATTCTCTAATTATGCTTTTCTTTTACACAATCCTGGGATATAATTTTCCAACATCTCCACCTTGCTAAAAGTAACCCTCAAAAGTAAAATCAAGCCTTGGTGTTCTCTCTCTGTCTCCCAACATGGCGGCCTCAGAAAAGAAGAGAAGGAGGAGAAGGAGGAGAAGGAGGAGGAGGAGGAGGGGGAGGAGGAGGGAGAGGGGGAGGAGGAGGGAGAGGGGGAGGAGGAGAAAGAGGGGAAGAGGGGGAGGGGAAGGTGGAGGAAGGGGAGGAGGAGGAGAAGGAGAAGGAGAAGACAATTTTCCTAATAGACTTTCTGGCTGAGGATGGGCAGACTGGTGGAGGAAGCACCTATAACCCCAGACAGGGCTGATGAAACAGATGAGCCAGAGGAAATGCTTCAACCACTTGGCACAGTAATGATGACGATGTGTGTAGGACATCTCCAATTGACCACTCCATTCTTCCCGCTGTTCCACAGGTTGCTGGGGAACCCCATATTGATTGGAGCCATCTTCCCAAATCACCATCCTACAATGCTCTTCTAGGGAACCTGCTCTATGATGTGATAGAAGACTCAATTAAGGAATTATTTAGAGGATTAAATATTGGTACAGCGCACTGACCACATGAACCCAGCAATCCAGAGAGGCTGAAAAGTTTTAGTTATTTGAGGACCTGGATTCCCTGTTCAGTTCCCTGGGTCTCAATGAAGAGTCTCTAGGTAGCAGGATAATTAGAGTGGATATTGCTGACCAAGCACAGGATAAAGACAGGGATGACTGTTCTCTTGGCCAGGATAGAAATCAGGATACTGACAAAACAGATATACTGGAGGCCCATCCTGCCACAGACAGCTTTGATGACTACCTGCCTAGAAGAGGTGATGATAGCTTTGGAGACAAGTATCAAGATCATGCGGTTCAGACCAGTATCCTGATGGGTATCAGGATGGGTTTAGAGATGGCTCACACCATGATATGGATCTACGTGGGGGCCAGGATTAAGATGATGACTGAGGCAACAGCGACTATGATAGAGGCTGTGATTCTGCAACAGGCAGTGGTAGAAGAGTATTTGGTAGTGGGTACCTCAGAGATGATGACTACTGAAGAGGCAGGTGAAGACCAGTAAGACAGACAGGACAATTGATCATGGAGCTCCAGAGATGATTACTCTTGGGGTGATTATAGGCATAGGATAGGGGTCCCTCCCAAAGATCAGAACTGAATTTAAAGCCTCAGAGCACTCATAAGGAAGACGATTCCTCTTCTAGCACCCTCCATCCCAGTTGAGCAGCTTCTATCTTTGGAGGGGGAAAGTCCATTGACACAGTTGCTAGAAAAAGAGAAGCAGAACAGCTACAGAAGAAACAAGAGAAACTATAGTGGCAGCTGGATGAGCCAAACCTAGAACAATGGCCTCTGGAGAGACACCCAAGCTGGCAAAGTGAAGAAACTCAGTAATGGGAATGGTGGAGGACAGGAAGAAAGCCAGTGCAGACTGGGACCCAGCCGCATCAGGCAGAAGCACGTCAGACCAGGATGCATGAAGAAGAGAGAGTGAGAAGTGTCTAGAAAATGAAACACTCAATAAAGAGAAACACTGCCACTCTCCAATTTCTAAGCCTCCCAAACCTGATCAACTCCTAAAGGTGATGCCAGACCCTCCACCAAAGGAAACTGCTTCGGTGAAAAGAAGTTCTAATCCTCGTATTCCATCTCAGAACTCAGACACAGAGCAGCAATTCCCTACAGGTAGTGAAGGAAAAGTACCTCCAGTTCAACCCTCAGAGAAAGGACCAGCAAAGAAAGATGAAAATAAAGTAGATGGAATGAATGTCCAAAAGTCCAAACTGGGAACTCGGGCCATGGTCCAGGAGATGGAGGGAACAAAGACAGCTGGAAGGAGTCAGACAGGAAAGATGGCAAAAAAGATCAAGTCTGCAGATCTGCACCTGAGCGAAAGAAACCTGAGGAAAATCCAGCCTCCAAGTTCAGTTCTGCAAGCAAGTGTGCTGCTGTCTCTGTTGATGGTGAAGATGAAAAGGAAGGAGCACATTACACCAAATAGACCTCCTGTACTTTCTCCTAGTCTCTCTCCACCCTGGAGCGTTCAAGAGCAAAGCAAACCTCTATCCAGACAAGACAAAATAACATCACCACCTCCTGGGGGAGGAAAAAATCAGGGTCAAGTTCTGATCAAATAGATATGTCTCAACCCAAAGGCAAGCTTCCTATTTAATTTGGAAATGCGGAAGACATTTCTGCTAGAGAAATAAACAATGTGAGGAAGTAACTATTGCCACCACTCTTTAGCATCAGAAAGATACAATATCTGAATAAATTACATAACAAGAATGTAAATGTTTATTTATAAAACTCTACAACACTCCCTGAAAGTCCAAAAAGTGGACCTGAACCAATGGAAGATATGAAGTATTCTTAGATAGGAAGACAGAATCATAAAGATTTTAATGCTCCTCAAATTATTTAAAAGATATAATGTGATCCCTATAAAAGTACCAAAATCCCTGTCCCCGCCCCCACCCACCCGTGCCCTGCAAGAACATGACGAGATGAATATGAAGTTCTCATGGAGAAATAAAAAGGCAAAATTGGCCAGGAGAATTCTGAAACAAAAATTTTAAAAATGCTGGGAAATATTGTGTCCAGCTCTGCCAAATACTAAAACATACTAAAAGTCCTCAGTAATTAAACTGACATACTTAAAAATAGGCAGATCAATAAAACAAAATAAAAAGAACTACAGTAAACCCAAAGTGTGTGTCAATTCAGTACATATTAAAGGTGTCTCAAATCACTGAGGAAATGGGATGTTTAAAAGAGTTAGTTTTGAGGCCAGGTGTGGTGGCTCACGCCTGTAACCCCAGCACTTTGGGAGGCCCAGGCGGGTAGATCACTTGACATCAGGAGTTCCAGACCAGCCTGGCCAACATGGTGAAACCCTGTGTCTACTAAAAATACAAAAATTAGCCAGGTGTGGTGGCATTCGCCTGTAATCCCAGCTACTCGGGAGGCTGAGGCAGGAGAATCACCTGAACCTGGGAGGCAGAAGTTACAGTGAGCTGAGATCGTGCCACTACACTCCAACCTGGGCAACAGAGCAAGACTCCATCTCAAAAAATAAACCAAAAAATTATGAGTACTAGAAGAAAATATGAATGAATTCCTTTAAAACCTGAAGTGGATAGTGCCTTTCTAACTATAACTTAAAATTCAGATGCAATTTTCTTAAAAGATAGATAAATTTAACTAAATAAAAGAACTTTTAAACATTTTTGCATGACAAAACAAACATCAAGACAAAGACAAATGACAAATAACAACTGAGAAAAAAAAGTATTTACAACTTGTATCAGATACAAAGGGCCAATCTCCATAATATGTAAATACTCTTACAATTAAGAAGAAAAGGTCCAAAAAGAAAACTATAGAAAAATGGGCAAAAGACATGAACACACAGTTCATGGAAAAGTAAGTTCAAATATCCTTTAAACATATGAAAACATATTCAATCTCATTTATTATAACAAAAACTCAAATAAAGACTTTTTTTTTTTTTCCCCAGAGTCTCGCTCTGTTGTCCAGGCTGGAGTGCAGTGGCACGATTTCAGCTCACTGTAGCCTCCACCTCCTGGGTTCAAACGATTCTTGTGTCTCAGCCTCCTGAGTAGCTGGGAATACAGGTGTGCACCACCATGCCCGGCTAAGTTTTGTATTTTTACTAGAGATGGGGTTTCACCATGTTGGCCAGGCTGGTCTCGAACTCCTGACCTTAAGTGATCCACCCACCTCGGCCTCCCAAAGTGCTGGGATTACAGGAGTGAGCCACCATACCTGCCTTCTTTATTTAGTTTTTGTAATTAACTCTTTTTTCTCAGTAACTTGTTCTTGCTTGATGTGAAATTCTGTCTTAACCAACTGAAGTTGTATTTGCTGGATTAACTGTGCTTCCTCAGGTATGCATTCATCTGTTTCATTAGTGCCTCTCTTACAATCTTGATTTTCTCTGTTCTTGTACATTTTGGTTGTGTGTTCCTTTTTGCATTTGTTTACCTGAAAGCCTTTCTGTCCACATGGTATTGTTCTCCACAGCCTGTCACCAATGATGCAGGCAAGGAGTGGTGTGCAGCTGTGCGAGGAGTGCCTGGATTTCTGGAAGTAAGGGCTACTGGTATCTTTGGATCATCAACCATGAAGGGTACTGATGTCTCTTGACCTAAATATCTACACTCACTGCTCCCACCTGAATGATGACACCTTTGTCACCTTTTGCTTGGCATAAGAAGAGGGGCTGGGCCAGGTGCGGTGGCTCACATATGTAATCCCAGCACTTTGGGAGGCTGAGGCAGGTGGATCACAAGGTCAGGAGTACAAGACCAGCCTCGCCAATATGGTGAAACCCCATCTCTACTAAAAATAAAAATTAAAAAATAAAAATTAAAAATTAACAAGGCGTGGTAGCAGGCACCTGTAGTCCCAGCTACTCGGGAGGCTGAGGCAGGAGAATCACTTGAACCCGGGAGGCGGAGGTTGCAGTGAGCCAATATCATGCCACTGCACTTCAGCCCGGGCAACAGAGTGAGACTCTATCTCAAAAAAAAAAGAAAAAGAAGAAAGGGGGCTGTTTCTCCTTCCATATTCCAATCGGAGCCACTTCAGATATCTATACCTGCCTCTTCAAACTTGGAGCTCCCTCTAGAATACCTCCCTCTTTTTTAGGAGTTCTTCCTTTGCCTGTTTTGGGATTTGGTTTCCCCCTTCAATCTGATCCTATTTGCCTTCTGATTTTTAGGCATCTCTTGTAATTTTCACTAAAGGCACTCTCTCCTGCTTTCCAAGATAATTATTAATTTTAAAAAGATGCATTTTCTTAATTTTCTAGAGATTTGTATGGGGAGACTGCAGCAAATGCATATGGTTCTCTTGATTCAAGATATGTACTTTTCAAAAAGTATAACCAGGCAGTTAAGCAACATTGACGAAGATGTTCTTGGGTTCCCAGAGCAGAGATAAGAAAACAGCAAAATTGGAATCTGGACTATTTCCCATTAATGATTCTAAGACTGAAAGGAAGAACACTCTAGGGGACCATGGTGTTCTTGAATCCCCTTACTGCCAAAGGTTCATCTATTATCCATTGCAATAACAATGACTCGGTCACCATTTGGTGATGCTACTGTTGCTTGGAAAGCATCCAGATGCATAGTGTTCAGAAGCTTAATCAATCCTTTTGATTGTAAGATGATAAATGATTCTGAGGCACAACCCATATACCTGATAATTGCTACTTTATCAAAGAAAGACATCTTTAAACAAGCTTTAATAAGAATGTTCAATGCTTTGCAGGTAAGAGCTTGAGAATTATAAATGGGAAATAGTCACCATTGTGAAAAAAAGGTTGAATTAATTTGCAAACTGATAAGGAGTTATGCGATACAGCAGAAATTGCACATGAAAAATAGCAGAGATAACAAGAATACTCATATGGTTCTACTTTCTCCAGCTCCTTTGAGAAAGAACAATGGATAGCATTTCCCATCAGGGGTTCCTCCTGCCTAGTTCCTGATCCTATCAAAGGTAAGAGTGGAAACCTGAGCGCTAGGGAAGTTTTGGTTTAGTTTCTGGTGGTGTTGGGAGACAGGAGTTTGGCAAGACTTGTTTCTTAAGACACAGGTCGCAAAGCCCCCGCTGATAAAACAGGATGTGGTAAAGAAGCTGGCTGAAACAGGCCAGAATCAAGATGGTGACAAAAGCAACCTCTAATTGTGCTTATTGCTCATTCATTACATATTAATTATAATGCATTAGCATGCTAAGAGAAACTCCCACCAGTTTACAGATGCCATGGCAACTTTTGGAAGCTACCCTATCTGGCCTTCTCAAACTAGGAACCCTAGTTTGAGACTATCTGAAACCAAGAACCTAGACCTTCTCCCTGATCCTGCCTTTGTCTGTGACATCTGGAACAGTGCTGTGGTGCCCATATGCTTGGATAAGGACTTTATACCCTTCTGCAAAGGCAGTGGAAAGAGCATGGTTAAAGATCCAGTTCCCAGGCTGTCACCAAAAGCCCTTTACTGCCTGGCCCCTGCCTGCCTTTCTGAGATAATACTCTTATCATTCAAGAGAATACCTTAAATCCATTCACTCAAAACTAGCCAAGGTGTGAGTCTGTTGTCAGGATCAAAGAAAGAGATGACAAGGGTTTTAATCAGTAAAGGTCATCAGATTAGAAAGGGTGAATAGACCCAAGAGGTGTTCAGGGGACAGAGTCAATAGAGCATCTGACAAAAAGTGAGGGACAGGGTGACGACACCAGGGTTTCTAAAAATGATCAGTAATGATCTACTATCATCAAATGTTATTTATGTTTATTTTACTAATTGGTGCTTTTCTACCAAACAAGCATTTCCATCAACTTCCCTCTCCTAACCCAGAATTAGCTTCTTGAAGCACCTCCATCCCCAGATAGGGACGGTGTCCCTTACTTGAGATTGTTTATGACATTTAAGGGAAGTTCTGAGCTGCTTTCATAGTTCTCAAGCTGGATGGAAAAATACTTGTAACAAATATGAAATTTCAGCCCTGGCTTCAAGATCCCTCCAAGGTATTCATTATTTTATTTTCACTGTGGACTTTAAACATTTGGTCCCTTACTTAAAAAGTACCCTTGGGTTTTGTTCTTACTAACATCCCAAAATGCAGTTTCAAATACTGAAATACAAAACCAACGTTATTCAGGACAGCTTGTTAGCAAAAGCCTCCCGCTATCAGGCCGAGAAGGCAGTTGAAAAGAAAACTTTACCCAATGGTCTCATTCACTCAATTGAAACATTTATTAGGCATCAAGGAGCAGAGGAGCTGTGCCAGGAAGGCAGCGAGTGCTAGGAGGACTCGGGAGGATAAGCAGGCTGGCTTGCGGGGGGCAGAGGAGGCATGGGGGATGGTGGATGGCAAGAATGGGAGAATCAAGGGTTTCAGGCTTCCAGCTTTGGGGTGAGTGCTGGTGGAGAGCAGAACTGTTAGGCAGAGCAGCTGTTCTGGAGGTCAGATGCTGGCGCCAGGTCCAAAGCCAGGACATACAGAGCCCAGCAAGTGGAGACACGGGAACTAGGTTTGAGGCTGGGTAAAAGTTGGAAGCAAGACCAACCCAGACTTGCCCCTCACTCTCCACCAGTCAGGG